TTATAACACCATGTACAATTCTATTAAGCTTACAATGTAAGCGTATACACATGCGTATCATCGTAACTTACGGTCTTATCTTGTCCTTTGTTAGATGTTGGAAAACCCTAATATCTTCCCCCAACCGTCATTTCTCCCAGATCTCTCCCGTCTTCTTCCTTACTCTCTTCAATAGCCTCGGTTACCACCAACCTCCTAACACTGCCATTACCTTCACTGGCATCTACCACTCGCTTCTACCTTATGTCGAGATGAGAAACCCTAACTCTATCTCGTTGCCACCATCAACGCCACCATCGCACATCGGAAACTCTAACCCCAAATTGGCTCAATCTTCATGGTACGTATCCCCCTCCATTCAAAATACTTGTAAGTATTTTTAGAATTTCCTATTTCTCAGTTCGTGAGATCTCTTTTTCTCCCACTCTCTATATCTCTTTCTCCCATGATTCCTCTCTTTTTCTTACTCAGAGAATTGCCAGGTATACATTTTTCTTACTTTGACAAGAAGCCTATTAATAACCCTAAACGGCGCAATAACATTTGTTTGTTCCATAAATTTCTTGGATTCGACAGCAAGTTCTACATGTTGGTGAATCTTCATCTTCCTGATTTTTAATTCCTTTCTATCTAACCTTTCTTTTTGAATTTCTTGGATGATTTTCCTTTGTTTCCAAAATCAAAAGAGGTTGACATCTACGCGTTTTTCTCTTTAACGAAATTAGGATTTGTTCTCTCTGCCGCTTTTCATTTATCTGTTTTTTTGCATATTTGGCTAGGAGGGCTTTTTTAAGTGGTTGGAATAGTGAAATTTCATTACTATAATTGGTGATCCCCCAAAAGTAGATTGGTATATTGAAATGTCGACAAGTACCTAATGGTGCTTTCTTACCCCTGATGACGTTATTCATACTTGGGTTGTGATAAGTTTGGAGTTCTGTAATTCAATGTTTATGGACAACCTTTTTACTGTTTTCACAAATGTTTAATAATTCCATTTCATGGAGTAACCTTATGATGTTCTTGATGGATAGGTTGTATTTTTAAGAATCTCGATTCTTCTGCATTAACGTGATATAATATAGTGATTTTTTTCTTCTATTCAATAATTAAAATTTTCTAGGTTGTATTTTTTAGTAACTACCGACCTTAATCTTTTCATTTTCTTTGTTTTTGCAGTCAAAGATGCATGCGAAATTGGTCAATCTGTTCATTGCTAACATTTATTTTGCATTCTATCTTGCTTTTAAACTTTTCATTGACTTAGTTGTATTGGTTTTTGTGTTTTTCAATCATGTATAGATGAATTTTTAGTTTTTGTTGAAGTTGTTACAAGAGCAGGGTTGTGGCCGGATAAAAGTATAAAGATTGGTTTAAAGGTGTTGAATAATCATCTAATGTGAGGGACATTATTATTTTAAACGCATATTAAAAACGATGTTTTTGTCCTCCAAATAGGTGCTACTTACTGATCTGGAATATGGTTTTGGAGAACCACATGCAAGCATTTTATCACAAAGAGAAGACAAAGGTATGCAATCATTTCTTTGTGTAATTGACCACGATCTTCTAATATATCTGTTGTTATATTGCCATGGTTCACAAGTATTTTCCAGACAAGTAATTCTCCATTTTATAAAATGGCTACATGTCTAGAAATTTACTCTCAAATGAATAAGTAGTACACAATAATCTTTTGGTGATTGATATGTGCCTACTTCAGCCTCAAAATGTTGTGGTGGTGTGTTCGTTTGGTGTTTTTTTTTTCCATATTTGTATCTCTTGTACAATTAATGTCAATGTATGATCTTTTGTTTGTTTTCCTTTTTGACAGTGCTAGAAGAAATAAAAGAATACGTAGGGGGCATTATTTTTCTGAAACTCAGGTTAAATTTTTTGAAGTTTCTATGAGCAAAAGAAGGGCACCGCACCATGCCGTATTTTCTTTGCTGAAGTGTAAAAGACGGGTTTGTAACTACCTAAAAGTTAAATCTTGTGGCTGTAATTTTGTTTGCTTTCGGAGTTACAAAAATAAAAATAAAAAAATAATGTCATGTATGAAATCTATATATAGATTTAGATTACAAATACTTTATAACCCCACTTTGGGACTCCATAAATCCTTTTTAAATGCTCATTGTGGGGGAATTTTCTCTGGAAATCGTATCAGGGGCTGAGTTTGCCCGCTTTGCAGAGCTCAAACCTGGGGTGCGTATTTAAAAGTATGCGTTTAGCTGTTTCAAAAAAAAAATTAATTTATTAATTTATAAGATCTATTCTAAGATATTGACGGATTAATATAACTTTTTTCGTTTGCATGATTTGTAATATATTTAACTCATGAGTTTCCTTTTTAATAGTTTTTCTATGGGGAGATTTAATTTTAATTTTAGATATATTTATTGATTTTTTATTAATATAACAATATTTTTTTATCAAAAAATGTTGTGAACCTTTGATTAGCATTGATGCATATATAAAAGTTATACAATCTGAAAGGCAAAATATATATATATATATAAATAGATTTGTCAACAAACTATGTTTTTTGTAAATATGATAATTATACAAAAATAATTTATTCGACTCCAACTAAAAGGAAACAAAGCGTTGAGAAAAATATTAATCTTGTATGCAATGACGAAAGTTGAACAATATGAGTGAACTAGATTAGCTCAAATACCACATTAAACCAAAAAATGTGATTTCAAACCTAAAAAGCTAACGAAAAAAGATTGATAGAACTGAGCTTCAAGGAAACCCGATCGAAAAATAAGACAAGTCAGAATCGCTTTTTTCGTATGACCGATTTTATGTAGCATTATCTAGAAAGATATTATGTGCCAATGCATATGAGTGAACTCTCACGAACATTTAAATATCAGCGAAGTCTATACATAAAATGTGATGTATAAAGAAGTGTTGCACGATTAATAATACACAATCAATCACGTGTTCATATATACATTTGTAAAGAATCACAATTTTTTATTTTTAATTCTTATTGATTTCATTTATACTAGCACGACTATTATTCATACTTGTTTATATGTAATAAAATATTTGCGTAAAAGAATTAATCGGCTGTAGAAATTAATTTGAGTAAAAACTATTTGCACCCGTCGCTTGGCGCGGGTAAACGGCTAGTACTATTTAAATTAGATTTACTTATATTTGTACTAAACTAATGTTGAAAGTACTCAACACTAGGCTTATAACGACTGCATCGTCGATACATTTCTCTCTCTCTCTCTCTCTCTCTCTTTCTCTCTCTCTCTCTCTCTATATATATATATATATATATATATATATATATATATATATATATATATATATATATATATATATATATATATATGATTTACACTTTATTTTAATACATAAATGTGCTATTATAAAATATAAATCATTCATACGAACTCCATTTTTTTACGTTCTTTATATCCATGCGTAGTTATCGACGAGATTTACAACTTTTGTTTAGACTCTGCCGGCTAATATTGAATTTATATTTTTTTCTAAATTTTTATAATATTAAATGATTTTGCTAAAATCATAATCTCTCGTACGGACTTCATTTTTGGCTCTTTTTCTCAAAAAAAATATTTTAAGGAATACTAAGATTTTCTTTTTGATCGCATTAGCTAAAAATCAATCATTTTCTTCGTAGTTTTTTACTTCATGCATTCGTTGTGCACGACTAAATTTTATATCTTTTAAAAATCATATATCTAATTCATACGGAGTTGGATCTCTATGAAATTTATATTTTCAGGATCGGGGAGACGTGTACTTTCTATATATATATATATATATATATATATATATATATATATATATATATATATATATATATATATATATATGTTATTGCACACTTATTTTTACGATTTACAGACGATTCGGCTGATTTTTCCTCTTTATATTATAATAATCATGAAGTACATAATATTCACATAATTCTTATTTATTACGTGATATATGTTACAATTGTTGACCATAACTATTACTTTGGTTAAGATTATTTATTTTATATAATAAAAAAATCATTTTTAATGTTTATTATTGACTAGCCAGAATCCGTAGGTGTTACAACAATGGACATGGTGATTTAAGTGTCTAAAAGATATATTTGATAATGAAAGGTGTTACACAAAAAGTATAAGCTAGATAACGACAAATAAATAGTTCACACTAACACTCTCAATGCTACAACACTCAAGCACACTCTAACAGTGGAATGTAACCCACTATTTATTGAGGTGCTAACAAGTCTCTCTCTCTCTCTCTCTCTCATGTCACATAAGGCTCGAATCCCACGTGTGCAAGTGAGTCTTCTCAAATCAAGCCTTCGCTAGTCATCTAATAGAGAACTTTGTACCCAATATCCTAGTTACGAGTGTCATTCAACCACTTTTCAAGCTTTAGCTCGTTTTGCACTGAGAGTGAATCTTTCAAATTAAGCTGAAAGAAGACCAAGACGATCTTTTTGAGCAACATAGCCCATCTTTTGAAAAAAATTCCATAAAATTGTTCTACTGCAACCATCCGGGAAATTTGCAACATAAAAGTTGGTTGCTATTCCGTTCATATCCTTTTTGTTGCCTCTACCGAAAGTCTTCCATAGTGTTTTCTTCTTTCTATAATAGTCTATCCCCGATCATTTGTGAGTCTAACGACTCTTCGGTTCCTCTCTCTTTATCTTTTTTTTTTTTTTTTTTACTTTTGACGGACATTCCTCAACTTTTAAGTAAAAATAAGAATCAATAATATTATTTAGATTTTTAAGTTTAAAAGTGAAAAATCATATAACATAATAAATAAATAAAAATAGAAATAAAATATAAATTTGATTTTTTTTTTTTTCAAAACGGTAAATCTAACTTAATTCTAAAGTAAGTATACAGAATCCCTACTTCAAATAGGAAGGGCACACGGAATGCAGTCAGAAATAAATACATTTTAATCAAGTCAAAAATGTGACTACTCACCTTTGGGTAGAAATAAATACAAGAGGTGACGTTCAGAAATTCTCTTTGCCTTCCGTTTGTGGTGCCCAACCGCACACCCACATGTTTGCACAAATTTGGGTAGTTTCACCGTGCATGTGGATTGTGGTCAGAGAACTACGTGTCTACACTCTACACTGTATTATTCAATCGAGAAAGAAAAAAAGAAAAAAAAGAACTGGGGTTGATAACTTGATCAGTTGATTCTATATATTTAAAAGATCTCTCATCTTCTTCCTCAGATAATTTTTTCCTTCTCCGATCAAATATCCGGTGAACCAGTCTCGTGGATAAAACTTTTTTCATATGTTCATCGTCATATTTCTTGGTATACATCCGATACAAAAACAAGTGTGGATTTGAATTCAAAATTTTAATTCGAGTCATACCAGATAAACTTCAATCCCTTGAGTAAACTTAATTAGTCGAGTATTTGCAGATCAAAATCCATGGAGAAAATCAATTCAAAAAGGTATAAATATCGATCATATACTCATCGAAATACTTCTTAATTGTTTACTACTTGTATTTAATATAAATGGAACTTTGATATTTGTTTGTTTGTTATTTGCTATGATTTCAGAGTTGCAGTTGTCACCGGAGGAAACAAAGGTATTGGACTTGAGATTTGCCGTCAATTGGCCTCAAACGGCGTTACCGTCGTAGTAACTGCTAGAAACGAGAATCGAGGTATTAAAGCTATCGAAAATCTCAAAGTTTCTGGCCTTAACGATGTCGTTTTTCATCAACTTGACGTGAAAGATCCGATGAGTGTTGGTCGGTTGGCCAAATTCGTCGAATCTCAATTCAAAAAGCTCGATATCTTGGTGAGAGAAAACAAACGTTTTCTTCTGTCATTTATATCATATCAAATTAGATTAAAATTTCAGTTGTGTTAATTTAGGTCAACAATGCAGCTGAAAGTGGAATAATCGTGAAGTATGACGAATTTAGGGTCTTCAAAGATGGAGCAGGATATGTAAGTCATATTGATCGATCATTTATACAAGTTATATTGTATTGTATTGTGTTGATTTTACTACAAATATTAAAACTGGCGTGTATTTGATTTGTATGTTTTGATTAGGAACAAGTGGTTGACGAAAACGCACATCTTTTAACTGGGATTTTGGAACAACCTTCCGATTTGGGAGAAGATTGTATCAAAACAAATTACTATGGAACTAAAGGAGTAACCGAAGCGTTTCTTCCGCTTCTTCATCTCTCTGATTCACCAAGAATAGTCAACGTTTCTTCTAATTATGGAGAACTACATGTAAGCAATTCACAACCAATAATACTAAGAATGAAAAGTCTAATTATGGAAAACTACATGTAAATCACAACCAATAATAGTAAGAACGAAAATTTGCACTCTTAGATAAAGTTTCCAAATATTGAGATCTGCTACATGTAAGCAATTCACAACCACTATTAAAAATTCATTTGTAATAGTATATTTCTAATTTCTTCACACCCTTGTTTTTATATTAAAATTTCATCTTGTACCCTTCTTTTGTTTGTTTCCTAGAAATACATAATAAAACCCGAATATTAGTTTTAATTATTTCTATCATTAAAAACTATTAATTGAAATCTTTATAACGAAGACCAATATTAAATATGTTTTTTTTGTTTAAATTAAAACAATTTATTTTTAATTTTATTTAAATGAGACTGATGTTTTTATATTTTTGGTTTTATTAGAATATTTTGTTTTATTTTATGATATTATATAGAATATATATTAGATTAATAAATAAAACAGTAAAATCTATTTATAATTATTTCAAAAGCTCATGGATAGTGAAAATATATTTATAAGAAGTAAATGTTTATATGTTCGTCAGCTCGTGATATATGACATAACAAATTTCGATGTTGTAGTAATATGATTATGGACCACTAAAAAGAGGTCCATTTTTTAAGATGCTCTAACTGACTAAATTTTTCAAAAGTATATGATTTTATAATAAATAAAAAATAAAAATATAATGTTATAAATTAGATAGGTTATTATTAATTTTGTTTTGAATTGAACTATAATATCGTACTAGAATGAAATGAATCGAAGAAGGTATAATACACAACTTAATGGAAGTATGTATCATTACTTTCGTATTTAGCTTTAAAATAAATTTAACATGATACGTCTTATTTTTCTTTACTTTTTAGTGGATCCACAATGAGAAGGTGAGAGCAGAGTTTCAAGATATTGAAAATCTTACTGAAGATAGAATTGATGAGATCATCGAATGGTTTTTGAGGGACTTGAAAGACAATAAGTTATCGGAAAACGGTTGGCCTTTAACGGTTGCCGCTTATAAAGTTTCAAAAGCTGCGATTAATGGTTACACAAGGCTTTTAGCAAGAAAGTTTGGTAATATTCTTATGAATTGTGTTCATCCAGGTTATGTGATTACTGATATCACATCTCATACGGGGCACTTGACCCCAGAAGAAGGTGCTAGAGCTCCGGTCATGGTTGCTTTGTTGCCGGATGATGGTCCTTCTGGAGTCTATTTCAATCAAATGAATATATCCTCATTTTGATAATATGAAATGTTTCTAAGAAGTTGATGAAATTTGGTGTTTTCTATTAATAAATCTAGAAATAATATGAATGATTGGGTTTTAAATGTTGCAATCTATAACTGTATTAAACTATAATGTTGGGTATAATAAGTATTTGTGTTTGGTATATTTTAATTTAATTTAATTTTACAAAACTATTTTGTCGGTAATTAATTTGGGTTTTTGGTATGCTTTTAGTTTATTTATATTTTAAAAAATAAAGTTCAATATACTTTTTCAATTAGGCCATGAAGTTCATAATTTTCTTGCAAATTTAACCAAGTGATTTGTTTCAAGTATTTTATATTTTTAACTTGTTTACTAGACAAAAAGTTAACGTGGCTTCTATATTTGATCCTGATTGGCAAACATTTGATTTGAGTTAAATTGAACTCTTATGTAGGTCTTTACCCATTTTACCTAATTTTTTTTTAATTTTCTTCTTTCAGAACATCATGATTTTTTACAATGCCTTCTCAATGTCGTCATGAGGTTCGTCATTCAAGAGTGGTGTAACTAACACGATGAAGGTTGTCCATAATAAAATCTCTCCTAGAGGAAACCATCATTCGAGAGTGGTGTAACTAACACGATGAAGGTTGTCCATAATAAAATCTCTCCTAGAGGAAACCATCATTGTTTTGTTTACACCACTCTCGAATCATGGGATGATAAACCACTGGATCGATCTTGAGAAGGCATTGCACACAATCGTGTTGCTTTGAAAGAAGATTTTTTTTTTTAAGGAAAGTGAGTATATTTTTATGTAACAATTTAATTTAACTAAAATGTTTATCAACTATGATTATATTTGGAAGGTATATCTGCTTTTTTCCTGATCAGCAACTAAGAAATCTGAAACATTTGAAACAAACCGGTCGCTTGGTTAAATTTGCAACAAAATTATAAACTTAATAACTTTATTATGAAAAAAATACAATATCAAAATCAAAATTTTATGTAAAATTAATGTTTTTATGTAATTTTCTCATATAACAATAAAAACTAATAACAAAATAAAACCATAAAATAAAAATTATCAAACCCTAAATTGAATTTTGAATATGTTTTATAAACGATATATTTTTTTAAACTATGAATATAATATTTTGATTTTTGAATATGTTTTATAAAAGATACATTTTTTTTAAATATCTACAATTTAGAATAGAGAAAAATTGAATTTGTCAATGTATAATTTTATTTTTTGATTAAATTTTATATATTTGACTGTAAAAATGAAAATGTATGTGTTCATAAGTATTACTAGAGAAAGATGTGAAATAATTGTGTTCTATTAAATGACTTTTGGCAAAAACATTTATTGAATTATGATTTTTTAAAACGTGTTTATAAAAAAAATCAATAAGTCAACAAGTTAAAAATTATTGGTTAACTTTTATATGTAAAATAACATAAAAATGATTTATTTATGTATGATTTTCCAAAAAACCATGTTTTTTTAACTTATTGAAACCTTCATTTTTCACCCTCACCAAAAAGTCATTCCAAAATAAATTTTCAACAAGCCAAATATCTTTTTAACTGATTTTCTTTTTGAAAAAGTCAATATGTTAATTAGTCAATTTAAGAAGTAATCCCAAACACTCATAATATTTGTTAAATAATATTTGTTAAAGACTTTGCATCTTAAATTAGAGGTTGCACGTATTAATACGGACATTGTTGATTTTTACTAAATTGGTAATGCTAATTTTTAACTACTAACTTATCGTTTAAAAAAAAAAGTAACCGACTTAATCAATACTTTTTGTAATTAACTTTTATTTATATATTTTATAATAAAAAATAATGACATTTGCTTTAGACTAGATGGTATGGGAATTGCTCGTGCTCGTTATACGGACGTGGCACGCCTTAATGACGTCTTGATAGGGGGAACACCCCCCCCCCCATTCGTTTTTGCTCGTTGAGGGTGGAATTCGTTGGTGTCACGACCGGGTGAAACACATAGATTTCAAACGTTTCTTTGGCAAAGGTTCGTTTATAAAATAAAAAAAATAAAAAAATAACTATTAAAAACAAATCATTTACCCTATAAAAACCTACCATTTTATAAATTTTTTCAAACAATTATCTTCAAAAATATATATATGGACCCTTTCGACTCATCCGATGATTCAGATATCATTACTTCAAAAGAATATTTTGTTTGAATAGAAATGTGTTCATATGGATCGTCAACGCCTTGGAAAGCCGTTATCGATTCTTTACTATACGTTTATACAAAATAAATAAAACTCTAGTACATGTTTCTTTAATTGTACAACATATGCAATATATTTTTAAAATGTAGTTAATTTATGTTTAGGTATGAATTTTTTTCAGTTGAGATATGATGTTAGAGGTAGACGAGGGTTTACAACGTTGTAGAAATGTGTTGCGGCCATTCTTTTAATGGCTATGGGGGAGTCACTCTACACCATGAACGACTATATGAGAATGTCTGAAAGAACCGCAAGAGAGAGTTTGGATACATTGTCAAGGGTTGTTGTTGAAACATTTGGAGACGTGTATTTGCGGAAACCTTTGTTGCATGATTTGCAAGAATTGTATGCGGCGCGTGAAGAACGCAATGGGTTTCCAGGAATGATCGGAAGCATTGATTGCACACACTGGAAATGGATAACTTGTCTGGTAGCTAGGAAAGGGCAATACAAAAGTGGTCATCACGGATCACCTTCGTTGGTTTTAGAGGCTGTTGCTTCTCAAGATTTATGGATTTGACATGCATTTTTTTGGGGTTGCGGGTTCCAACAACGACGTCAACATTCTTGATCATTCATTAATATTCGACGATCTTTTGAATGGAAAGGCCCCGGATGCTCTTTTCACGGTGAATGGAAACGAATAAAAACATGGGTATTACCTTACAAATGGAATATATCCTTGGTATTACACATTCGTGAAGGCATTCCGCCACTCGGTTGAAGAACAAGACAATTTTTTTAAGAAAAGACAAGAAGGAGCACTTAAGGATGTGGATCGTGCTTTTGGAGTGCTGAAGGCGCAGTGACATATAGTTGAACATGTAGCACGACCATTGCATTTAAAAACTCTACGATATATCATGTATGCATGTATCATAATGCATAACATGGTAATAGAAGATAAAGGGCGAAATATTGCACACTATATCCCAACGGAGCCAGGATACGCTCAGTTTCAACCAGGAACATCAAAGTATTTGCATCGAGTTGTTGACATTCAGGACACACATAAACACGGACAACTTCGAGGGGACTTGACGGATTATATCTTCTATGGTAACAATAAAAATAACGAATAGAGTTTAGTTTTAAAAAAAATATTTTTGTAACGAATAGCGTTGTATTTTTTTTTTTTTAATTTGAATGTTATGTGTAATTTAATTTCTATGTTAATTTTAATCTTTAAAATTTTTTTTTATTATATGTTATTTATCATTTTTAAAAATTATGTTTTATTTATTATGTTATATTTAAAAAATATTTGTCTAAATTAAAAAAAAAAATCGAAAAAAAATAAAATAAATTATAAAGTGGATAAAAAGTTGGTGTTCTAACAAGATGCAATATGGTGACCATTTTCCCACTTGGTATTATAACACCATTGGTGATGTGTAATGTAAGGTGACACCAAAATGATGTTACATCTAGTTACTCACACCTAATACTCTTAGATTGTCACAATTTAATTAAAAATATAATTTTTCATTATATTAAAATCAAAGATCACATTTTTTTTATTTTGTCTTAATTTTATTTTTATTTCAGTTTTTTAGTATTTTACTACCATTTATTACTTTAATATTTTATTTATTATTTATTTTTTAATTATTTATGACAAAGTAACATTTAACATATTTTCAATGCGATTGACGTATCCATTATTTTTTTGTTTCCAAAAATTTTATATGGAATTTTATCTATGAAATTAGAGACTCTCTACATTTTATATTATACTTGCATTTCTTTTTTATATACAATGTTATAACTCGTAGGAATCACGGTTACAAAATTAATTAATCTTTTATAGAAAAACTAATAATTGATAATTAGTTAGTTATGTAAAATTATAATCATAGATTCAAATGAATATATATATATATATATATATATATATATATATATATATATATATATATATATATATATATAATTTATTTTGAAAATAAATGTGCAAGAATTTTTTGTATGTAATTGAGTATATCTACAAAAAAAAAATGTAATCCAAGATTTTAATATTTATAAATTTAGTGGCTATATATGTAATTAGTGGTTATATATGTAAAACTAATATATATATATATATATATATATATATATATATATATATATATATAGTTAGTTAGTTAGCTAGTTAGTTAATTAGTTAGTTATGTAAAATTATAATCATTGGTTCAAATATATATATATATATATATATATATATATATATATATATATATATATATATATAATTTAGTTTGAAAATAAATGTGCAAGAATTTTTTGTATGTAATTGGGTGTATCTAAAAAAAAAAAAAATGTAATCCAAGATTTTAATATCTATAAATTTAGTGGCTATATATATGTAATTAGTGGTTATATATGTAAATTAGATAATGAGTATAATGAAATTTGGCAAAATATTAATTAAGAGAAACAAAAGATTGACAAGTGACATATTATTAATTAGTAGGTCTAAATCGGTGACACATGACAGAAAAACTATTATTTTATTAGAACGAGGTTAATTCCTGCGCATTTCGCAGAAACACATATATAGTTGAAATTTTTACAAATATATGTTTTTCTTAAATATACAAATAACATTATTATTAAATTTGATATAATAATTCGTATATGAAGTAGATATAATATATTGATTAGTTTGAATTATATGATAATATATATATCTATTAAAACTGGACGATCTCAATCGTTTGAATGACCTCTATCCGCATGTTACTCATGAATAGAAATAAAAATAATATATGATTTAATGTTATTTATAATTGTTGTTATTATTATTTATTTGTTTTCTTAAAATTTATCAGCTTAACGTTATAATTTCTATCATTATAATTGTTTAAAACATCAAACATTGTTTCTTTTGTTTTTAAAAGTAAAAATATAATCATT